ACCACCCACCTCTTGGAAACCTGCTCTTTTCATGAGGTGTTTTATCTAGGTGTGGGCTTTGTCTTAATTTAACATTGTATACATTTTTGAATAATTTGACATACAAGAATATCAGTTCACACTCCAATTCGAGACCATATTTGGGACCTAAAAATTTGGGGTGGCCTCAGGGATGGTCTCTAATTAGAGGGGTAGCTTTGTGTTAAAAGGTTGAAGACTTATTTGGGTCTTTAGAAACGTGGTCTTGAATTAGAGGGACCTTGGAACTAGAGATGTCTTAAATGGGAGGGTGCACTGTATATAAAAATAAGGATATAATATCACCCTGTGGAGGGTAGGGCTGTATATCCTCAAAAAAGCTTGCACCCTCCAGGCATCCCCAACCACTGGAAATTTGCTGAGCAAAAAAGGTTGCACAAGGAGTTAAAAATCATCTCATGACCGTTTTGGCCAGCTAAAGGCCCCCCCCCCCCACCTTTAACATTGAATCCAGTGCGAGTACAAGTTATAGATTATATAGTTATTATATAAAACAATCCTATGCTAAATTATCACTTTGGTTACTTACATTTTTAACATAATCAAACAGTAGATTAGATGGAATATCCTCATCCTCGGGGGCTAATCCAAGTCGATTCTCAATTGCTGACAGAGAAATCTTGTACAAAAAATCATTCTGAAAACAGATAGTAGTTAAGAAAACTGTTACAAAGAGATGAAATAGTAGATAGGCTTTAGCCATGATGTTAAAATTATGCTAGCATGATGTTAAAATATTGCATATATACAAATATTGTGAAAGCATTTTTATTAAATTTAATTTTTCTTTTACATCTAACAACTCACCAATTCCAGGATAGAATGATGATTTATAATCTAGTCTCTTTGCACATACACAATATGGTGAATGAATTTTTCTTAAATAAAATTTTTCTTTTACATCTAACAACTCACCAATTACAGGATAGAATGATAATTTATAAACTAGTCTCTTTGCACATACACAATTTATAAACTAGGCTTAGGATGTGGAATTGTTTTTTTTTTTTATTTGTTTATGAGAAAAGAAAACCCAGTTATTTAAACCATAGCTTTGTATTTAGTATTTATGATAAAATGTGATGCATGCCCAAACAGTACACCTTGATTGAAATTTAACAAACACTTTAAATTTAATACTGTATGGCAATCTGCATTCAATAATTTAATACAGATGAAGTTCTTTTTATCATTAAACTTTATGTAATGTAAAATAATATGAATAAGGTAATGTGATCCCAATGATCTATTCAGTGCCTACCAACAGGTTTTCCATAAGTACCTGTAAGATTAAACACCGTCATATCAATTGCATCTTTATCTATTTTGGGGAAACCCCTGGAAGTTCTAAGGAAGAGACCTTGATAATTTCAGTCCATTACAACCTACCAATTTACTTCTAGGTCTCCTCCTCAGTATAGTAAAGGTTATTGACATTGATTACATATAAAATAATTGACAATTAATTGATTTAAAGGTATGTAAATCTAATTAAGGTTATCAGCTTTTCAACTGAAAAAAAATCTGCCAATAACTGACTAAAGTCTTTACCCCTTATATATACTGTATAACACAAAATAATTGAATTATACTGTATTTTATTATAATTTGGGACTTTTTGATTGAATACAGTTCTCAACATGTTTGTATAGCCATGAGGTTTTCTCTCCCAAAAACAAAACTGAGTAATTAGCATTAAGAATGATGTGAGAGTATTGTATTTTATACTTTAGTACAGATAAGGCATAAAAGTTTTACTCATAAATTTGGCAATAGTAAGTCGATTCCAAAAAATTTATTATAAAGTCAATTTACATTTTTTAGTCACTCATGCTGGTTTTTGAATGTAAGCCTTATAGTGTTGTGGAAATTTAGTCAAATAGAAAGTTATTTTCTAATGGGATATACTTTGATTTTATACTCGCACACTCTATTGCGGCTATCATAATTACTTCATTATAAAAGGGAAAGTTTAGATTCTTGAAGTAAATTGCTTGGAATTTATGATTGCTATCTATTCACTTGTGGTTACTAGTCAGAATTAAGTGTTGTTCCTGATACTTGGGATTTCTACACATGCTATTCCTGACGATAATAAGGAATAATTCCTGATGATGACATAATTAATGTTGAAATACTGAATCCAAACATGATAACATGCACAGGTTTCAATCCAATTAAAAACCACTTTGGGGACCCGGGTTTAATCCATGGCCTTTAATAGTAGCTTTGGTCTCTAAATAGAATAATAAAGATTAAAAGACATTTTAATTTGAGACCACAGAAAAGTGGTCTTTAATTAGAGGGTGGTTTAATTGGAGGTGTCTTTCTAATAAGGAAAGTGTTTTTTCCAAACGTGAGGCACACTTGGCAATTTCAATACACTCTCTATTCTTGTTCACAATAATATGGATACTTTATATTCAGTAAGTGCTGCTATCCCACATGTGAAAATATTTGGGGTATTATTACACAATCTATCCGTTCCTACCGATGGGTACGTGATCTTAATCACATGGAAAAGTAATAGTTCCTCCTGCAATACCTCGGATTGTACACCTGCACTAAAAATATCTTCTGGTTTATGTTTTGAGGTACTTTCCCTAAACAAATATTTTAATTCACAGGATTACACTGCAGAAAATGGAAAAGGGAAGTCAGGATCTAAACTGTAAGCATGGAGCTAATTATTCTTGAATAGCTTTTTAAGCAAAGCTAACAGAAAATATAAACAAATTGAGTTCATTCCCACCTCCTTTTTGGTCCACCTTAGCAATCTATTACTACTAGAATCAACCTCATCGAAATTTTCAGGTTCAGATGGTGGCACATGTACATCTTCATAGTGATCATCATCCTTAAAAGTAAAACAAAACAAAATCAATCAACAGAGATTTAAAATACTAATCAGTGATGAATCAAGGAATTCGAAATAGAGGGGCTTGGGGAGGGGGGACTTTCGCACTTCAGCCCCACCATGGTTGAGGCTGAGGCAAGAATATTTATGACTATGGCACCTCTAGATGACCAGTAATGGCACTTTCAGACTTAAATTTGAATATAATTTTCTTTTTTTTTTTTCTCCATTTTTTTTTATAGAATTTTGAAAAATTTAGTTTAGGTGGGGACTACTAAAACAGAATTCAAAATGTCAATGAACGGCAAGATTTTTGTCATTACACAGCTAAATATATAAAAATATTGATAAATAAATATAAAAACCTTGTGTCGATTGCGCACACTGACACACATACTTCTCAGTAGGGTCCTCAGTAAGTATAATTTTGGATTCAGATTCAGGTAGTTAGTGTGTATGACACTACTCAAAATTACAGTATTTGATTGTTCATGACTTGTACATATTATTTCCTGATATACAGTACTGTTGCACTGCAGGATATGAGCAGGCACAAAACAACATTGTTTTAACAATGGAGCAATTAGTTTAAACTAATTCCTCCATGTTTTAACAGATTATTAGTGTTAAACCATAGAAATATTGTGGTTTATAATTGTGGATTATACTTGTAAACATTTTAATATCTAAATAAAATGATGCAATTTTTAAAATAATATTGTCAACTATAACTTCCTATCATAAAAACTAAATAGCAAGTAGCTAATATCCCATTTTGAAGTTGAACTTTATCCAAATTTGAGGCAAGCTGTGGCAAAATGCTTAACTGTCACACAGGGCAGTATTGAGTAAATGAGCTATAACATAATGTGGGAGCTCAAAAAATGACCTAAAAATAAACATTTTTGTTTTCACTATAGATCAAATGACCTAAAAATAAACATTTTTGTTTTCACTATAGATCAATGTTTAATGTCTAATTAATCATGTCCAAAGTCTTAGTTCTAGAAATGGTCAACACATCATTTTATGCTTTTTTGGTAGTTAATTCTATTACAATGTGTGCACAAATAAGTTTGGGAGGCAATTACTAAAAATAATGTTTATCTTGACTCTAGGAGTGCTGTACTTTCACTTCCCAATATTAACAAGACTTGAAATGTCCAAATTCAATGAATGACCCCTCATTTTAAAGATCACATACTCAGGTATCTGTACATACCATTAACTTGAATTTCAATTTTTGCTACAACTTAGCCATTTTGCCACAACATGCCTCATTTAGGAAACATGGTATCATTGTGAAGCTAAAATATTGAAGTCTGATGGATAAAAAAAAAACAAAAAAAAAAAGAATAGGCCTATAATACAGTTAGATTTCTACCAGTATAAATTGTTATCACACTTTTGAGTACTTGTCTGATGATATTAACACACATGGCTGCACAGCGGTACTTTAACAGATTAATGTTGCTTTGAAGAACAAAACCCAGTTAAAATCCTACAGCTTGGTCTTCCCATTGATTTGTGTTGAGCTAATATCAACAAGATTAGCATATGATTAATATATGAGATTAGCATATAATTAGCATATGATTTTAAAAGGTCTTACAATCAATCTCTGTGTTTTGCTTCATCAGGGTGGTGGGAAAATATACAAAAAGTGGCAATGCTTATGCCAGGTTGTAGTGCATTAATATTAGATAGCAAGAGTTATTTTCAAGATTAGGGTAAAGCCAAGTCGACCAGTCAGTGTGTTGGGATTCGATTACTTCGGCGTAAGCAAACTCACGGCCAATATAACAATTGTTAGACTATCATTTCTGCATCAATAATTTATTAAATTAACTTGAAGAAAATTAACATACAAGACCGCTATTTGTCTTGATGTAATTAACGTTCTAAAAAAATACCGCAACATGAGCGTTCAGTGATTGAAAAACCTTATTTTTACACCTGCTGTGAGGAACAGGCATGGCCACCATGTAACAAAATAGCCAGAGTCCACATTGTGAATAACCAATTTATTGCCCGTTTTTTATGAGGAAAAAGTAAACTTATTACGATGAAGTTTAAGAGCTTTTTAATTATGTACTGTACCTGGTTTTGTGAATCTAGACGATTTCTGTTTTCTTGCTTACACTGTATTTCTGAGTATTTTTCAAAGAAATTCCCATCAGCTGCATTGATTCTGTGAAATAAATGTTTCCTTCTTTTAATAATTTTGTTTATAATTATTAGTTTTTGAAACAACAATGACGATGGCAAATCAGGTAAAGCTGATCATTAGATCTTGTCATCCACAAAAAAGACTTAATCAAATACCCAAATTTAAAATCTTACCTACAGGTAGATATACAGATAGGCCTAATATTGTTGAGGACGTGAGATGTTATTATATAATATTGATTGGATTAGAGCAATAAATAAAATCTGAATTTGAACAAATTCCTGATGACATAATTATTAATGTTGAAACATTGAATTCCAACATGATGGCGTGTACTTTGATACTTGGAGTATGTATTATACTTTCTGAATTAGGGCAGGAACAATGAGAACACTCTAAACTAAATGGTACAATAAAAAAATACATAAACTTTCCCTCAATAGAGCAACTATGATACAGATATCATATCGGAGTCGGATTATAGAATCCAAATTATAATATCAGGCCTTGACCTGCTTAATGTTATAATTATAGGCCCTAGCCAGCCCTGCCTAAATAGGGCGTAGGCCTGGGCCTAGCTCTCCTATGATTTTATTAATTTGAAATTAATTAAAATTTTAAAAAAGTGTTAAATCATGTCATTCATATAAAAAGGCATTGAGGTATTTAATCATATTATGATGTACACTTTGCATACTAGGTCCTATAATCATATGCCTTGTGAAAATAAGTGTTGGAATTGATAGGACAAAGTCCAGTTAGGCATCTGGCCAATGACCTACGCTAGCCTATCAAATCCGGAATCAACTTGAAACCGGATGGGAGGAGAGAGAGAGGCTTGCACCGCTCTATCATTCGCAGATAGCCCAGGCACAAAAATAAACAAAACAATTATCTCACCTGTCATTGCTATAATTTGATGATACAATATCGATATCGTTCTCTGGGTATGGGGCTACAATTGACAAAATCATTGTCCGGGCCCTCTTCTTAGCAGCCTGTCGAAACATGTTTTTGCGATAGTTTATTTGAGCCCTAATGTGATTCCGTGTTTTGTAAATCTTTCCCCGAACGTTCCGCACCGACCGTCTGGCTGCTCTTCGTATCGCGTAGGCAGTATTGACGTCTATTGTTATCGTTGTAGAATTCATCTTCTTCCAACCAATCAGATACCACTTCCTTTAAAAGTTTTATACTGTAAACAAATGTTGCACGTGCTTTTTTAGTGGTTTTTAGTGGGTTGGTAGTTTCCAAGTTTTTTTTCCTATACAGAAGAAAATTTTGGGGACTTTTAAGTTGTATACACATACACGCTGAATCGGTGATCGAAACTATACAATGCTATTTATCATTACAGAATCAAAATTACAAATTAAAAATTCAAATAGATTAAGCATCTCGACCTACCTCGAAGGTGTCTTTGTCGTTCTTACACAAGTGAGTTGCTCTTCAATATGTGGCTTAAATTCTCCGTATCATCCTATTTCTGTCTCTCAGAATGTAAATGCTGTAATATGTTATTAGTCATGCATTTCCTGGCTGCGTGTCAAGTTCAGGAGAATATATTTTGAATAAATCTACGAAGCAAAGCATAGAAAAAGAAAACGCTTTACCCGTCTAACAACACAAAAAACCGCGACAAAATATTTTCCACTTTTTTGGACGTGTAATAATATAATTTGCCCAATATAGATATGAAAAAGAGGCTTAGCTAAAGTAATTTTGAAGGGAAACGATTAATTATTCCAATTAAGCACACCGAAAAAAATGTTTTAAATTTGCTGATAAGTGATCCACGTACAACATTATTTTTCACGTAGCCGCGAACTGTAATATAGGCTTACTAAAAGTAGGTCACGCACTTTCAAGTTGCGATTTTCCCAGATTTTTGCTCAGCAAAATCAGTTGTAGACAAATATATGCACTTATACTCCCCGCCCCCACAACCTTTACCCGTATATTTGAGAGAAACTAAACAATTCTTCATGTGAAAGAAGATCGGACATGTAATAAATGCGATTTTATGATTTGAATTTTCTGGTTAGTAACAATATGCAAATAATAAGTCTGGGATTACATCATTTGAATTGTCAATCACAGGTCTGCTATTTCCTACTCCGTTAAAAAAAAAAAAAAACAAAAAAAAAAACGAAAAAATAAATAGTGTATGGCGATTTCACTCATTTCTCTAAACTCTTTCCAACAAAATGTATTCATTATTTGTGTGTATTGTTATTTTTTCAACTGAAATATATTTTATTGATTTATTCATAATTGAAAATGCAAACGAAACAAGAACACAAAAACAACATTTATTGTCACCACCAAACCTGCTAAAGACACTCCTTCAACTATAGGCATCCAATCTTCCATAAATAAATATTAAATTAAAAGTACAGTACAATTATAGGTATAGATCGCCCGTTCGGTTTGCCGAGTGTGAAAAAAAAATATGTTGTTGTAGAGGGCGCTAAATCAAAACAATAGTACCCCAGTTCGATACTCTGCCGCGCCAATTCAAGCCCAAACCGCGGGAAATGTTTGGAGAACTCGTTATAGTCCAACAAGGCCTAGAGGAATACTAGGCTAGCATATGAATGGTTTGTTGTGTATATAAGGTCTACAATTAGTACTGTAACTATGGCCCAGAGATCTATTATGTAAGTACTGCATGTGAAACAGAACTTGATTGATTTTGTCTGGTCTTATTCTTAGTTTAGTCTAGGCCTAGGCTATGCCGACGGAAGTTAGGCAGGCTAATTTCGGCGTCCGCCGTCTCTATTCTACGCTGGTGTCTTAACCATTGGACTACTAATGATATAGGCCTAGAGCCTTCGGCTAAGCCCCCTATAGGCTATAGCCTATCGATTTAGGTTCTACCTGAGGGAAGGGCTGGTTGTACGTGCCTAAAATAAAGCCCTGGGGCCTGGTAGAATCGTCCTGTTGGTTAGCTACCTATTCCTAGGCTAGGTAAGGGCCTTGCCTAGCTAGGCCGCCTATAAATATAGGCCTAGCTAGCTAGCCTAGACCTAGTTAGCTAGGCCTAGGGCCTAGCTAAAATAAATAGAAACATCCTCCCCTCTTCATCATGCAGGCCTACCTAGCTACCAAGGCTAGTGGCCTAGCCTATAGCCTCTCAACATTGACGTCCAAAATTTAATGGGATGGGTATAACAAATTCTGTTGTATCCTATTACGGTTTATACTCATCTCTGACAGAGACTCTGTGCAGGCCTTTGTACTTATTATTAGTTAAAGACAATATATATTTATTGGAATTTCCTTTCAGGTCATTTTTCGGTTCAAGTGGGATGAAGAAGACTTCTACTGGCACTGAAAAAAAGAGGTATGTACATACAGTAGTAGTTTCACATTAAATTTAAGAATTAAAATGTTATTAAAACTGTTATTTCTGCATATGAAAAAAAAGAAGAAAATTATACATTAGAATCATTTGATGAAACATTACCTTTATTTCAGAGAAAGGTCACCACTGAAAGTGAAGAACAAATCCCCAGATAAATCGCCCATCACAGAGCAACCAAAGAAAAAGATGCGCCGGATCCTGGACAGTGATGAAGAGGAAGAGGAAGAGAATGTTGGCAAACAAGTTAGAGAAGAAAAGGAATTGAGCAAGCAGGAAGATAAGGAAGGCAAACAGGAGGATGAGGAAGCAGGAAAACACAAGGATAAATGTGAAAAAATATGTGCAGAAAAGAAGGCAGAAGGAAGCAAGAAAGAAAAAATGGAAACAAATACTGATGTAAGAAAGTTTTCTAAGAAAAAAAAGTTTTTTTAAAACTGCCTATGGAAATTCCTTAGCAGTCTAGGCCTAGACTCCATTCTATGAAAGACTTTTTATACCTTGTTTTGGGAACTTATTTTTTAAAGATTGTCGAGTAGAGCAGCAAAAATGAAAATTAAATTTTGTTTTCTCATTTAGTGAAATGATTTTGCCAAAACCATCTAGGCAGAGAACAAAAAAAAATTATTTATTGATTAATCAGTGTAGTAATGATATTGATAAATGCTTTACACTTATAATTACGAAAGAAATGTATATTTATTTACATGTAAGATTTCAGGGGAGTGGAGGGTGTTATAAAAAAAAAATAAAATATAAAATTTTCGTTTTTGCTTGTAAATTGTTAAGTTTTTTTTAAACTAAAAAATGTTGTCAATGCTAACAATTTTTTATGTGACCTTATTTTTTGTTTTTCAGGGCGAACATTCTTCGAAAATAGGACAACAATCACCGTCAGAAAACAAAAAATTTGCATCTCCCTCATCAGTGAATGGAACACCTGGAACTTCATCACCAGAATATACACCAACTATTTCACCTGGGAGTATTCCACTTAGAAAAACAGGTAAGTTTGACAATGTAAATGATAAAAATTATTGCAATCAAATAAAATTGTAATTTCTATTAATCAAAATCTAACATATGGCTTCACTATTAGTGTTACATATGTAATAGTATTTTCGTAGTCACTTGAATAATGATGCAGCACTTGGAGACATTAAGCTCTGTCTATACTATCAGTATCAAGTTTATCTGAGAAATATCTGATTTTCCCATATATGGACATGATCATGTGATATTTCCCATATATGAACAAAGGTATTTGTTATATACAATAAAGCTTTAGCTGTATACCAGATATGTCATCAATTACTGCCATTGTATTTTATTGTTTTCACTAAGCAACTTTTTTTTTCTAGCACGGAAACACATGCGAAAGCGAACTTTAAACCCTCCAGAAACACATAACAGCACCCCTGACGATGTTGAAAAGCCATCAAATGAAGTAAAAGAAGAAATAAAAGAAGAAATAAAAGAAGAAAGAAAGGAATCGGTGATTAGAAATAGATACTTAATATTAAACTATTTATTATTGTATTAGTTAAACTTAAAAATTGTGTTAATAAATGGTATTTATTCAGAATTTTCAACATGTGATGTGATAAAAAAAGTAGAAAATAACCAATAAAAGGTGATAATGTCAAGAATAACTCCAAAAATATGACTTATTTTCTTTGAGATCCTTGGAATAATACTTCTGTAAATGAGTATTAAAAAACAATTTGACTTTTAATTTTTGTTGCACTGTTTGCTGATTTTAAATCTTGATTTCATTTTGTTCTTTTCATGATTTTTATCTAAATTTAGGATAATAGTGTTCCAGAAACTTCTATGCCAAAGTCACCAACAATTAAAAAGGAGATTGTAGACAAGTGTAGTAAAAGTGATGAAAATGATAGTGAAGAAGATCAAGTGGAGAAGAAAAAAGCCAAGGTGCAAAAGAAGTCAAAGAAAGACACCCCATCGTCAAAAGGAAGAATGGTAAAACTACCAGAGAACATAAAAGCAGAGATTAGAGATGTGAAGACTCCAAAAGGAAAAAAGAAATTGTCTAGTAATGAAAGTCAAAAGTCCATAGCTGAACAGGAAGATGAAGAAGAAACTGCAAATGACAGTCAAGAAGAGAAGTCAACAAAAGCAAAGAAAAGAAAGAGAAAGCAAATTATAGAAAGTGATGATGATGAGGAGGAAGAAGAAAAACTAGATGTTGACAAGGAAATGAAAACTTCTCCAAAGGTGAAGAAAGAAGTTGAGAAAAGTCCTGTACATCCATTCTTTTGTAAGTGGACTGCTTTATATTTACATGTAATAGTGGTTAAAGTTAGATTAAGTAGAAACATATTTATCTTATTATGAACATCATCATCAAAAATAAGAATTTCAACTTGCAGTAGCATCCACATCAAGAATAAGAATTTCAACTTGCAGTATTTTATATTTTTTATATTTCAATTCCCCTTTTTCTTTTAACTTGCTGTCTGTTCAGGCAATCAGTGAAAATTTTTTATTATTATTATTTTATTTATTATTATAAATAATAATAAATAATTTTTCTAAAATAACTAATTCTCTTCCTTTGGTCTATTGTGCAACTTTTATTTTTATAAATTCTTTATTTCATATGCTTATAATGTGTCTATTATTGCATTTTCATTCATTTCCCTCTAATTTTAATGTTTCTGTGGTGTGATGAAGTTGTTGTTTTTCTTGTTTTATTGTTAATGTGATGCAGTTCAGCTCTTTGCTGCCAGATTAAATACCTTGAATAAATTGAAATTAAAATAAATTGAAACTGAAATCACACTGTTTTGTTTTTTTAATACTATATTTATATTTCAAAGCCACAAAGACACCAAAAAGAGAGTTGGCAGACAAACAGAAAGATAACAAAGATGACACGCCTGTAAAAACAAAGAAAGAGATAAGTACACCAGCCAAACCTGTCGGAGCAGGAGACTCAAGGTAACCTAGGAAATGGTGTTATCACAAATGCAATAGGTGTTATCACAATACAATACAAAGTTATCAAAACTTGAGAAATTTATGTTATGTGAACTGTAATATATAATATTACACTTGCTATTATTCTGTTGACTAACTTGTCACTGTAATAATGCAACAATAAGCCGATTCATGGTTCTCGTATCCGAGGTCAATCTCGATTGACCTTGATACAAGCATGCTCAGTTCCAACCATGAATTGGCGTATTATTATGTTTGTTTAATAAATTATTTATTATTTATAAGTGGCTTCTGTTTTTGTAGATACTCTAAAGCCCTTTATTTTCGCGATAAAACATTGATTGCTAAAATGAAGGGTGCACGAAAAAGTGAAATTCTGATTGATAATTTTGCCATGGTTTTGTCAGTTATAGCTGGTATAGAACAGATATTCCCTCAATTGTAAAATCGCAAAAAATAAAAGAAAGTGCAATATTTGAAATTGTAAAATCGCAAAAATAAACGGCTGTACAGTATATGAGGATGGATGGACTGTAAAGTGTGTTACATTTTTAAATAATGAAACTTTAGGATAATAGTGATCCAGAAACTTTGAGAATAACTTTTACTTTGATTTCATCACAGTGATAAGAAAGTTACTGATGTTAATTACAACCCCGGGAAGAGCAACTATAACCCAATTCTAGATGCTTGCTGGAAGCAAAATGAAAAGTAAGAAATGACCACCTTTGCAAATTAGATTAGCATTGAAACATGTGAAGCAGCAGGAAAGCAATAGTGAATGAAACTCCACTTCATTCAAAGAGTTTATATGCTTTTAGATATTCATGATATATGATATATGAGATATTCAAGTTCTCGTAATCTCAAAAGCTCCGATGAAGGCAGTATAATAGAGGCAGTAGAGCTAAAAAGATCTATTAATCAACCAACTATTTAATCAATCAGCCAAGTGTTTCTTGAGCTCCTCATGAGGGCAGTATAATAGAGGCAGTAGAGCTAAAAAGATCTATTAATCAATCAACTATTTAATCAATCAGCCAAGTGTTTCTTGAGCTCCTCATGAGGGCAGTATAATAGAGGCAGTACAGCTAAAAAAGATTTATTAATCAACTATTAATCAATCAGCCTCATGAGGGCAGTATAATAGAGGCAGTAGAGCTAAATGGAGCTCCTTATCGGAGCTAAAAATATACTCTTCTAAAAAAATTTACTGTATTGTTTTTAGAGTACCATACCTAGCCTTAGCCCGAACATTTGAACAGATTGAAGCCACGACAAAGCGTTTGAAAACCATTGAGATTCTATGCAACTTCCTACGATCGGTCATTGCCCTCACTCCGGAAGATCTTGTTAAGTGCATCTACCTCTGCTTGAATAAGCTTGCACCAGCTTATGAAGGCCTAGAACTTGGCATGGGAGAAACTATACTTATGAGAGCTATAGGCCAAGCTACAGGTACGAAAACATTTCTTTGATCGCCTTCCTTTCTTTAAATATTAATAAACAATTCACAAATGTAGCTGTGTGTCACATGTCACTAGCATGTCTGTTGCTTTCATGTCGCATATCATTTGAATGACATGTGATAATTGCATACCACATGTTACTTACTTGTCACCAATTACTTGTATGATACATGTTTACCTCCCTGTCAAATGTTACTTGCATGACACATGTTGTTTCATGCATTATTTAAATGTCCCATATTACATTTATGTCATTGTCATTATTACTTTAATGCCATTTGTTTGATATCATGTATTACTTGAATCACATATTACTTGGAATGTCACAAATATTAATTTTTTATCTTATGTCTCACATTACTATAATGTCACTTAATACTTGCATGTCATATATTTCTTGCAGTGTCACATTAATAATGTGTCACTTATTACTTGCATGTTACACTATTAATAATGCCAAATAGTGCATGTCATGCTATGCATGTAGTAATTTGAATGTTTTGTGATTAACAAAGACTATCAATTTAATATAGTGTTAACTTCATTTTCTCATTTCCTATTGGACATTATATCATTTTTCTATACCTCTTTGTTTCTGTTGTTTTTACGCTTTTTGCATGTAAGCTATTTTTTCTAAAAAATGATGATTGAATGCCAGATTAAACAGCTACGCTATTTTTTAACAATGGACACAGGAATAACAGCCCTTGTGTGTCTTTCACTTAAATTTGAGTTTTTAATGTGATATGTTTCTAAAACGTACCTTAAGGGGAAATTAGACAATGGAGAAATTAGAGAACAATTAAAAAAACAATGTTAAGGGGAAAATAATACAAAAGATATTCCCCTTAAGTTTGATTTAGAGAAATTATTATTATTATTATTAATTTAGTAGATTCTAAAACAGGTTTTAACTTATATCTCGTGTCACTTTGTCTTTCTAGGCCGCAGTGTTGATAAAATGAAGGCAGAAGTAGCTGAGAAAGGGGACCTTGGGATTGTTGCTGAGGTATGTTCAGCTTGAGGGCAGCAGACTAATATTGCTCAACAAGAATCTTTGCAGTTTTTTTTAACCAGCCACCCTTTCGAAATATACAAGTTAAACAATAAATGTCTGTTACTCTATATATCATTACTATTTAAAATACATTGTATTAACTTTTGTGCGTGATATTTTTTAGACAGTTTTTACTATGGAAAGCGTTATAAAAATACATGACCACTGACCACTCATTTGCTGGTTATTAAATTTTTTTTTTTCTTTCTTAGACCAGCCGCTCAACACAGAAAATGATGTTTGCACCGCCGAAGCTGACAATTCAGGGAGTTTTCGCAAAATTACGAGAAATTGCAGCAATGACTGGCAATGCTGTAAGGCGACAATGATAATTGTTTTCTTAAAAAATGTTTTAATAATTAAGAACTACAGTGCTCTCACCAATTTACCCTGTTAGTTGAATCAGTTGTAATTTTATTATTAAGTAATATAGGTCTTCCTCCAATTAAAAACCACATTGCGGACTGAGCAGGTTTCCATGGTCTGTAGTAGCTTTGTTGCTGATTAGAATAATAAAGATAATTTGGGACCACAGAAAAGTGGTCTTTAATTGGAGTGGTCTTGAATATGAGACGTGTGTTAAATAAAATGTTAATTTTAAAGGAAATAATTTTTAATTCTATTCAAAGAAGTGCCCAGTTCACATTAAGTCATGTGATTATTGTTTTTATAGTCTCAAAATAGAAAAACTGAGAAAGTAAAGGGAATGTTTGTAGCCTGTCGCCACTCTGAAGCAAGATATCTCATAAGGTTAGTTTCTTTATCTACTAATTTATTTAATGAACTTTTGTATACCAACAGGTGGGGGGTTTCTATGAATTCGCAGGTGTTTTCTCGGGTGTCATACAGGTGGAGATCGATAAAATCATTCTATTTTTATTTTTTAGGTCATTGACTGGTAAACTGAGGATTGGTCTGGCTGAACAGTCTGTCTTGGTTGCTCTTGGCAACGCTGTTGTCCTAACTCCACCTGGCCAAGGTAATATTATAGATCAATACACTGTAATATGGAAACTAATGGAGTAATGTTGCATGGTGTATTTAATTATCTGTAATGTTTGTGTTGTGTTAAATAAGGAATTTGTCATAATCAAATATGGTTATTATGTCTTTAAGCAAATTGTTGGTTTCTGTAAGGGATACCACATGGAACTGTGTTTTGTTTCCTTACTAGTTAAGGGATTGGCACATAAATATGATACTCTTTTCTTGTCTTTTGTTTCCTAATAATATACAAAATAGATTTAGATGATAACACATAACTCTCTTCTTTAGATATTGATGTAAAACAACAAACTACAATCTCCGACACCATGCGAAAGAAGATGGAAGAGGGAGCCTTAATCATCAAGACTACTTATTGGTGAGATTATTTTCCATTTTTTGTAAATTATTGAATTATATGCCTGAATTTTATTTTTGAGGGCCCAATGAACAGCTTTACTGGACAAACTACCCTTTGGAAATGAGATCTAATTTTTAAAAAATCTTCTGGTGTATTTAAGTTAAACGAATCACTACAATATAGTTGAATTTGAGTATGCTGTGAACAAATTAAGTATTGTATTGTCGTAAAGATGGTTCCTGTAATTTTATCATAATATACATTATATTACTTAAATGGGAATTACCTAATACCTTGAGGATTAAATCCTTTCTGAAATGCTAAACATGTCACCAAAATGTCATGGCGCCCTCACAGCCCAATTGATAACCAGCCAAATAAGATAATCTCTCACATTTTGTTTCTAATGGCCATTTTTTTTGTATTCTTTCACCCCATCATCTTATCTATGACAGTGAACTCCCAAACTATGACAAGATCATTCCCACATTATTGGAACATGGCCTAGAGGAGCTACCTAAGCATTGTAAATTGACACCTGGAACCCCATTGAAGCCCATGTTAGCCCATCCGACCAAGGGAATATCGGAGGTGTTGAACCGATTTGAGAATATGACGTTTACATGCGAGTACAAGTATGATGGTGAACGAGCACAGGTAGGACATTGTTTTAGTTGACAATAACTTGTGACAAGATACAGTAATTCGATCATTGAAAAAACTATTTTCTAATTGGCAAGTCTACCAATTTGTACTGCAATTAGCATATAGCATAGACTGATCCATTCAATGCCACAACATTCAAGCTGTGTGGAGAGAGACCAAGGTAGGTGAAATTCTTCATCCAAGGACACAAGCGAAATTCAAAGCAAGTTTTTGAACCCTGACCTTACTCTCAAGATTGAAAGCCCAAATGGCAATTGCTTCAACAGCCATTAGAAAATAATACATTTGCTTGCATCCCTTTCCTCAGATCCATCTCCTGGAAAACGGAGAGGTTCACATATACAGTCGGAACCAGGAGAACAACACCTCCAAGTATCCTGACATCATTGAGAGGATCCCAGGCATCTTGACCGAAGGTGTCACGTCTTGTGTGATAGACTCGGAAGCTGTGGCATGGGACAAAGAGAAGAAGGACATCCTTCCCTTCCAGGTCCTTAGCACCAGGAAGAGGAAGGATGCAGATATGTCACAGATCAAAGTTCAAGTGTGTGTTTATGCATTTGACCTTCTGTACTTGAATGGACAGGTAAGATTTTGGTTTTTGGCTATTGTTAACGGGGACCCCAAGTTTGAAGTTGTCATTCCTGGTAGATCTACAGTGACAGGAATTCAATATAGGAGTGGTGTGGGTAGGGAGCTGGACTTTCACAGATATGGGTCAGACGTAGCACCTCAGAGGTAAGAAAATTTATGATTATGGCACCCCTTTGATGGCCAGAAATGACGCTCAGCTACATAGATTTTAGAATATAATTTTCTTTTTGTGCCATTTTATTTTATAATTTGGAGACATTTAGGGTCCCGGGCTGGCTGTCTCACTCTCTTTGAATTCCCCACTGATCTGCCATGGTATAACTTTTGTTAACACATTTAATCTTTTTACTGCACATAGTGATACCGATCGGCATTAACTTCTATGACACAATTGATAATAAAATATTGAAAAAATGCAATTATTATGAATTTGCGGGAGATGGGGTATTTTCGGGAGATTCTTTCTTGCTGCGGGAGTGAGGAATGTCGTCCCGATTTCCTGGAGACTCCAGCGAGTTCTGGGAGACTTGGGATTTCTGTGTTAATATATTTAATTTTACTATTATTTCAAATATATTCTTGTTTTTATAATTTTCAATTCTCAAGGTATTGACGATAAAATTGGCCCTATATTATAGTTTTAAAATTTACACATTAAAATTGGTTGATGTTCCACTTGATTTAACATATGGGAAATGTGATCTCTTTTAGTCACTTGTCAAGGAACCATTTCGCAGACGACGAGAGCTCCTACACTCTTCCTGTAAGGAAGTGGAAGGGCAGTTTGTTTTTGCCAAGTCCATGGTGTCGACTGAGACAGAGGACATTCAAGAATTTCTTGATGAGTCCATTAAAGGTAGAACTATGTTACTATAGATGATTAGTGATATTAAGGCAAGACTTTTTTTATACTTTAGCGAACCCACTGCCTGCTAATAATGATGATTTGGAATCAAAATAAAATTTTATTTTTGGCCAATTAGCTCACCCATTGCTATGAAAAAATAGAAATTAAAAAAAATTTCGAAGTTTTTCTTTATTTTTATTACGCCTGCCACTTGAAATTTCAAAAATAAGATATGTATATTTCTTCCTAATTATGTAAATTTAAAGCATTTAACTCTCCCATTACTGTTTACATTCACCAATAAAATTTTATTTTTATTTTCTCCTCCATCTGGAAGATTTAAGCAAAACTATTTGCTAAATAAGGAAACAAAATTTTATTTTTACTTTTTTCCACCCTCCTGACAGACAATCTTTAAAAAAAAGTAATTTTTCAAAACAAGGTATAAAAAAGTCTTGCCTACTACTATCACTAAATGTTAAACTGAGTAACTTGCATAAGAAATGAGGCAGTAATGTATACATTAGTTCATTAGTTTAGTAATACTTTTACTCATAACTTTGGCAATTCCAGTAAATGACATATTGAGAATATGAATATATTTAAAAGTAATATGAATAATATTAAAAAGCTAATTTTCTTCTTTTGATCACTGATACGAATTTTGGCACACCAAGCCCCAATTGATTACTTACTAATTGACCATCTTCTAGCATTGTATCCTGCCCACTTCAATTTTGTCTTTTTTTTTTTGGTTCTAATATAGTTGTAAAAAATGTTAGTAATAACTTGACAGATACCAAAAATTGTTTTTTTTTTAAATTTCTAGGAACAGAACATGTATAAATTCAGCGTCCTTGTTAAGATTATGGTTAACCAAATGCTGTTTTTTCCTTTCAGGCAACTGCGAAGGCCTAATGGTCAAAACATTAGACGAGGAAGCTACATATGAAATTGCAAAACGGTCTCATAATTGGTTGAAGGTAAAAGCAATTACTTTATTTGAAAAGCCATATTAAAACGAAAAATGTTGTACCTAGTGTAATCGAAGATTCAAATTACTTAGTAAATACAGACTTATTAAATGCGATTATCTTTGGCAACGGGGAGCCAAGGAGAGGGAGCCGACTGTTCAAAATTTATTGTCATTTATTGAATAGGGAGATGGGTGCTTTGTAAACTTATTCCCAAATGGAAATTCCTTACTTGTGCCCCTTTATTTTTGTAATTCTAATCCCACCCCGGAATTTATTAGGGAAAATTTCAATTATGGCAGTCTAATAGAAAGTACATTTCCACAAGGAATTTCCCACTGATTTGTCAACTGAAGGTTTGTAGCAACATATTTTAGAGATTCAATGTCATTAGAACTATTTACTGTTTTTGGAAAATACATGGCACTATTTGTTGTTCAGTATGTATTTTTATTTTATTAAGACATTTTACTACAATGTTCTACACCAATAGAGAAGGATAATATATCTGTCTAATTTAGTTTTCAAGGCCAAGGCCATGGTCCTTCCCAATATAAAGCGTGGTTTCAATACAGTCTGCACGCTATCGCTGACAGCTTTCGGTGATGCTGATTGGTCGGTCAAATCAGGGAGCCTTCCGATTGCATCGGGCACTGCCTATACAGTGCAACGATTGCACTGAAAACGCTGTAGCGACAGTGTAGCGATTTTAATCAAACCAGGCTTAACAGTCATTTAATCAAAATGTAATATTTCAAAAATTGCTTACACCTTATCTATAAAGTGTGACCATCTATATTGCTGGCTACAAAGAGACAATCAATGTTTTTTTACCAAAGTAGGAATTAAAAACTGTATAAGTCAATCTAAAAACAATAATAATAATGTGAATAGTATAATAATGATTTAAATTCACCAAAGTAGTAATTAAAAATGTGTATGAGTCAATCTAAAAAACAATGCTAGAAATAATAATTAATAATGATAGTAGTATAATAATAGTAGCATTTTATGAGTCAATCTAAAAAACAATGCTAGAGATAATAATTAATAATGATAGTAGTATACTAATAGTAGCACTTTATGAGTCAATCTAAAAAAACAATGCTATAGATAATAATTAATAATGAAAGTAGTATAATAATAGTAGCACCAAGTCAGCCTTAAAAGAATATCTTTTATATTATTTTCCCTAACGCCGGTTTAGTTCCAATTAAGGTAGGTTTTAGTAACATAACAATAATAATAATAAATGATAATAATTATAATAGTAATAATAATAATAATGATTATAATAGTATAAGTTTTTTTTTTCAATCTCAAGCTCAAAAAAGATTATTTAGATGGTGTTGGCGATACTTTAGATCTGGTGGTGATTGGTGGTTACCGAGGCAAAGGAAAACGCACCGGAACATATGGAGGATTCCTTCTGGCTTGTTACGACGACGAGAATGAAGAATTTCAGTCTATATGCAAGGTATGGGATACTTTCGGGATAAACAAACTAATTTCCATTGTCCCTTTATATGAATACACATAAAAAAAAAAAACCATTCGTCCCTGGCCACCACATGACTCTTGAAAGATATCTTAGATTCATTAAAACAAACTTTGTTTATCTGTTTTCACATTAAAAAACGCAAAAGGAATGAGGACACACATATGGTGTGGTCAACTTATACCCTGGAATGGGTGGTTCAGTTTTTTGTAAGGGTGTTCATTTAAATGAACAATGGCAATTACTTAGTCTATCCAGGTAAGTATTTCACTCATAAGTCCCTTTCAGACAGAGCTGCAGTACCGCAATATGGCAGTAAACATGCCGGCATGGGTTTCTGTCTGAAAGGATGGATATGCCAATGTGCCGGCTTTCTTAAGGCCATCTTGCACCCTAGTAATATTGCCGCAATATTGTGGTAGCGGTTACTGACTTGCCGTGTCTGAAAGGGTCTACTCAATATTTGCGGCAGTCATGTCAGTTTGTGCATTTATGCATAAACAAACAAGTTTAAAGTTGAAAACAATTGCAGGGTGGTATTTAAAAGATCTTTTAGACAGAAAAGCATAAGATTACCGCAATACTGCGGTAACAAAGGCGCTGTGTGAAAGGGTATAGACCAGTTTTAATACCAGCAAGCTTACTGCAATATTGCGGCAAGGTCTATCTGAAAGGGGCTTTAGACTACCCACATCATTGCTGTTTTGTGTGTGTTTGAAAAGTGGATTGGTACTATAGTAAAAAATAGCTGTATATGCAACGATCTTATTGAGTGCATAATGAAACCCCATCAGCAGGCCGTAACTGCATGACCATGCTGATGATTCAATCTAGGTGTAAACTTCTCATCAGTCTGCCAGACACCTATTAAAATGCTTCCCATAAAAAATATGCGTTATCATTAGATTAAATTATTATTGTAGGCATGGTTTTTTTTTTCATCCAGGATTGGCACTTATTCAAGAAAATGGCGAAGTATGTTGGTGGCATATGCCAACCCCAAAATGTATGCCAAGTACTTAGTTATAGACCAGGAATTATAGTAATTAATAAGATGAGAAAGATCAAAATAAAGATAGGTGCTGTTTGTCATGTTCACGTCTATTTTTAAACTATCTCCTGATATGTTGTATACTTGTTATAAATGCATACTAGGGAGGGAAAAATAGCCTAAAACCTAGGGTGTTTTTTCAACAAATATTTTTAGCTCCGATAAAGTTCTCTAGAAACAATCAGCTGATGATTAATAGATCTCTTTTAGTTCTACTGCCTCATGAGGCTGATTGATTAATAGGTGATTAATATATCTTTTTTAGCTCTACCGACTATTATACTGCCCTCATGAGGAGCTCTAGAAACACTTGACTGACTGATTAATAGTTGATTGATTAATAGATCTTTCTTAGCTCTACTGCTTCTATTATGCTGTCCTCATTAGAGCTTTCAAAATTACGAGAACTTTTTTTTCTTTAACTGTAACCCAGATTTTTGCCCTATAGGTACCATTGTCAATATATTAAAGCATGGTGAGACGGTTGGCACTGAAACAATTCTACGTAGGAGAAAAAATATCCATTATCAGTTAATGATTGTTGGCATTTTTGCAGGGCTTTCTGTGTCTTGGAACACCACAAACATATGAGGCATGTTGTGGCGAAATGGTTAAGTTGTCGCACAGTCCAGTATTGAGTAAATGAGCTATGAAATATGGGAGCTCAACAAAGTGCCTAAAAATCCAAATTTGTTTTTCACTATAGATCAACTGTTCTGGAAGTGGTTGACAAATTGTTTATTTAACGTTATTTTTCATAGCTCATTCTATTAAACAATGTATGCACAAATAACTTTGAAAGGCAATTACTCAAAATAATGTTTATCTTCACTCTAAGAGTACTGTACTTTCACTTTCCAATAACATAGGCTTGAAATGTCCAATTTGAATGAATGACCTCTCATTTTAAAGATCACATACTCAGGTATTTGAAAATACCAATAACTTGAATTTCAATTTTTGTTACAACTTAGCCATTTTGCCACAACATGCCTCATATGCTCAGTTGCCTGGCTCGGCACTTATATTTACTGTATGAGAGTACTGTATAAATACTTGATACTTGCTGGAAACACTAATTGCAATCAATTAATTTTAACCATTTTCACAGTTGCTAATTGTATAAATAGACATCTGATGAAGTTATATGTTAAGGATTATGAGAATTTGTAGTGTTTGTGCCTGGGGTGACTTAATTGAAAACCAAGGTCAGGTCAAAAGGATGGATGTTGTGTTAGGAAGTCAGAAATTAAATTTTATGTCTTTAAAACTTCAGATTGCTATCAAATGCTAACCTAGATTTTGATAAAATTAAAATTTCTAATATGGATCAAATCTTATGGTAGCTAACAGCAGATTACCCTGAGGTATGCAGGTTTACAGCCGCAGATTCAAGGAGGGTCCAGCCAGCCCATCACCCCTTAGCCAACCCTCCCCCTAAATTTTTAAAAATTATTATTTTTTTAATCATGAATTTTCTTACCTATAGACACCCTCCCCATCTGTAAAAAACCTTCCCTTGGCTCATTATAGATAAGTAACATAAATTATCTGTTTCTAATTAGTTTTTTTTTTTCTCTCTAAAGATTGGCACAGGTTTTAAAGATGAAGACCTTGACAAGCACACAAAGTTCTTAACCGATCACCTAATCGACAAACCAAAGGCGTACTACCGCTATGATACAAGCCACGAGCCAGATCACTGGTTTGACGCTGTCCAAGTCTGGGAGGTGAAGGCGGCAGATTTATCCATATCCCCTACGCATCGTGCCGCAATGGGCATCGTAAGTTTTTTTTTTAATCTGATCATATGTTAGAAATACATTATTTAATCAATGGCTGTAGACTAGCATTATGTATATAGAATTCAATAAACACGACTGAAAACACTGTGAATATATATACAACTTGCTCACTTTTGGATGAGGGGTTTATACAGCCATTGACCCAATACTGTAATTCCATATTTGTATTTTTGGTATGCATTTGGTTTGAGAAATAAAGTTCATATATATATACTACTAATAATAGAGTATGTTAGTCTTATAAGGTAAAGGTAGAATAATCCATAACTTGCAGCATCATTGTGCTGAATTGTTTTATATCATGCTGAGGCCTCTAAGCCCTATATATTATGAAATATACATCACTACTTCACCGATATTCTTCTAATTGCAACATCCGTATTTACATATTCTCATTGTTTGCTGTGACCTTGTCATTGTTTTTACATCAACCCCCTTTGTTTTCTCTTGTATATAAAATTAGTACCATGTTGGTTTGGTACAACACTAATCATTTTCCCATTTTTTAAACTTCCCTTACATCAACCCCCTTTATATATCCCTCTATATCTCATTATTACCAAGTTGATATTGGCACAATGAATGTTGATCCTTCCTGACAACATTAATTTTTACAACTGAATTAATAATAACAGTAGTTTTTTTGTGACTTGCTAAATGCATACATCTGTCAAACACGTATATTACTTTCAATTTAAACCTCATCTGCTTCAACTTCCTTTTTTGAATCTATTAAATTAAGGTAATTATAATAAAATTATAAACAATACAATGATTCTGAAATATATAAATTGTTCATTAAATTAGTTTGGGGTCACCTTACATTTTCACAAGTGTACAAACAGTATTGAGGGATGGGATTAGGTTTTCACACTTTTTCTTTCTTTCTTTCTTTTATTGTTTATCCTGGGGGAATGCTCAGGGGTAAAATCCCTGGTCCTCACACTTACACTTACACTTTAGATTTTTATGGCAATATTTACTTGTACCATATTTGAAGAAAAGTAGTTTTCATGCTTTACATTTTACAATATGAGAATTGTAGAAGTAGTAGTAGTGTTTGTACACTTGTGAAGAGGTGAACAATTTTGAATGAACCCCCTTATTTTTTGAAATTTTAATTATTTTACATCTGATTTTGTTAAAAACAGTACGGTAGTAAAATGTCCGAAAATGCTGTAAAAAGCTCCAAAACTGGGAATATTCTTGATTTACATACTAAAATAATAAAATATGGAATGTCTGATGTTGAATTAAAGTCATCCTTAATGTATTACCGACAGGAAGAATGGTTCAAACTTTTAAATGAAGCAATATGGATCTCTAAATATTAATTTCCAAAATAAATTTGATTTCTTGTACAAGAGACATTGATTTATTATTTACCTATTTGGACTACATGGCAACATATTATTAGACACACGTTATATTTGGGGCGACATTTCTGTCTGACAGATTGAACCAAAGAAAAATTGGGAGCATGATTTTTAACTAAAAAAAATCATGCTCTGGATTTCCAAATTATGATTTCTATAGATTTGTTGTACATGGAATGGTAATCCTATCTCACTAGTTAGCAATTCATAAAGAGTGTTAATGAACCTTTCCAGAGAGTTGGTTGAAATTACAAAATGACCAGTCACAACAGGGCTAAGAATATGTGCATGTTCTACAAACATGCATGTTATAACACAAACGCATAGGTGTGTGCGTAAGCCTTCACACTGTAGATTTGTGGGACCTTAGCAACAATATCCAAGGGGCGGGGCTTAGCAACAATATCCGCGGGGCGGGACTTAGCAACAATATCCAAGGGGCGGGGCTTAGCAACAATATCCAAGGGGCGGGGTTTAGCGAAAAGGTGTGTTGCATGTGTAACAAAACTAATTTTGCTTTTATTTTTTGGTTCTGAAATTAAGGTTGATCCAAGTAAAGGAATATCTTTGCGCTTTCCACGTTTCTTGAGGATACGAGAGGATAAGAGAGCAGACGAAGCAACAAATGCTTCACAGGTATGTTTACATTCATTTCCTAAATTTCACTTCAATGCTATGATGATCATTTTGGATTTCATGTTTGCGAAGTTTAGTAAGCAAAATGACAACTGAAATGCTTTGATTTGACCCATGAGAACTCGCAGAAGCTGCAGCGTTCTCCGGGTGATGACGATTGACAGAAAGATTGGCTTGATGGAGGAAAACCAGGGGCGTATACAACCCCATGATTCAGCGCACACGTACACTGTACTTGTAATTAACTGCGCTTGTGTGTCTCAACTTAAAATTGAATATGATTTCGTATCTTGTTTTCCTTTTGCCGTTTCCTTTCCAAGTCATGACTTTATTTTTTTGAACACACTTTACCCTGAATTAAGTTAATTCGATTTTTTTCCCCAAAAAGTATTGAATTACCAAAAAGATGATTCAGTTCAACAGCTGATATAAGCTGCTCCAAATATAGTAAAAAACCTATAAATTATAAGGGGGGGGGGCAGGGAGAGGAATGTAGACTTTAGAGTAGTACAGTAATACTTGATTTATATATATTTATATTTACATAACAGGTTGCTGAGTTGTATAATAATCAAGACCAGGTGAAGAACCAAAAGGCCAGTACTACTAAGGCAAATCCTGATGACTTCTATTGATAACATTGATTATACCTCTCCTTTTGTTTATATATTTGTTGGAAAAATACACCTGTTTCAATGAATGTTAATTCTGATTACCGTATTTATTTGAATAAATTCCCCCTATAAAAGCCTCATTTGGAATAAACACCTCCCTCAAATATACGCCCAGAGACGTTTATTCTTAAAATAAACGCCCCTCAAATGCATGTAAACAAATCTTGTAGAAGCATTGTCATTTTCAATATATTCTAATAATGTTCTACTCCAGTAGATTTACATTTCTTCTAAACTGGTTGGGATCAATAAGTCTTTATGATCATGCAATAACACATTTTGATGTTCATTGTCTGGAGTTCAACATTTACAGTAAAATTAAGGGGCATTTATTTGAGTACATTTTATGCCAAAAATATATTCCTCCCTCAAAGAAATACCCTCTCAAAAACTCTTCTCAACAATTTACCCCTGGGGCGTCTATTGAAATATTTGCATCGGTGTCAACATCGTCATCTGTGTATAATTTAAATTATCAACCAGTAAATCATCAATAAAAATATATTTAAAAAATACCAGAAGCTAAATTTTCAGTTGGAGTCGTGTTACACATTGCATGTGTAATTTTGGAGAATAGCATAAATGTACGGGTTTTTGTTTTTCGTTGAAGACTTGAATTTTATAAAACTACTGAAATTTAACAAATCGTTATATTAGGTTGTCAATATTAAATTAGCATAGTACACACTTATGTTTTTTATCAGTGTAGTGAAGATGCACTTTGCGCACGCGCGAGTATATAGGCCTAATGACAGGTTTAGATCTAATTTAACAAGTCCCATCCGTTAGCGATTGCCTTTGTACCAGCCACCGCATGTTAATCAGAAAAAGTGGAAATAGATTACACTTGCTCATAGCTAGCATGGAGAATCCTAATGTAATTTCTACATGTTCGTACCATGTTGACGCGTCCACAGGGCCCGGTCGACTCTAGTATCCGCTAAACGTATGTGACTACATTGTCAATAACAGTATCAACTATCTACACTTATAATTCGGCCTTCCTTTCTGAATTCATTGATCATTCGCAGTGGAGACGGCAGTGGGAGTGGTTAGGAGATAATGTGAGTCAATAGGGCTTCACACCCCTTCAGTTCCTAAACGTGATGAATCTGGACTTAATCATTTTCCTTTGGTGGGACTTGTAGTTATGAATATCTTAAAAAAAAAAGGGGGGGGGGTCGAAATGGACTTATTTATCATCTTCCAGGTAGGGAAAATAAGTGAGCCACACTCATTTTTGTTTTGGCTGAGGCATGACGTCACTATAAATTGGCGGATGGAGACTACCTGCAATCAATCGTTTCATACCGCCCTCAATAGTCTTTGAAATGTCGCTTTGTTTTTGGTCAATTTCGATGACGGGTTTGCATTATAATTATAAAAAGATCAGTCTTTCGATCTGTATATTAAAATGAAAGTAGTTGATAAAAATGTGTTTCCAAAAGAACGTGGTGCCTTGCTAGCGTCCAACACATGTTTCCAGAAGCATATTTGTTTTCATACCAAGACTTTATTAATAGAACCGTATAAAGTTTAAAACCTTTAAACCATTCCAAAAGTGTCAGTAATCACAAAAACCGATAGTGGTGGAAATGTTAATAATAATAATAATTTTCGTTTTTAAGAAACCCATCAAAAGTTTGTTTTTAGGATTTGTCTCACGTTTCTTCACTCAAGTAATATGCTGTATTTTTACTGTCAAGAAAGGAAGGAGAAACATTCGTTGTTTTAAATTGAATTACGAAATGCACAAGATTCGTCAATACATTTATCGACTTCCCGAGCAACTGTCAGTACCAGCAGACGAATACCCAGAAGGGTTGTGGCCGCGCGCAGCATTCAATTCGAGTATCCTTAGCCTTGGCACTGATTTCTGAAATGCGGGCCAGTATTACCAGTTAGTTTTCCTGTAATGAATGATAGTGTGATACGAGGGGATTTTCGTTTGATAACATAATTTCATTATAGATCCATCCATGTATAAAGATGTATTCACACCGAATCCGAATTTTCGGATCGGAAGGCCTATCTAACCGATCAGAAAACCGAATCAATGTTTAAGGACGACGCTGGCGTTGGTGCATCGGAAACGCGGTCCGAATTTCGTTTCGAAGCCGATGTGAATGCAGATATAATAAGCCTTAGTAACTTATTTCTTCTTCTGAAACCGGCTACCAACCAATAAAGAGCCCTTTGAAGTCTCCAATATTTAATGATGATTGTTCAGTCCTCATGAGAGAACTCTTACACTTCTTTCCAATAATTATGTCATCTATGTCTTTGTGCACACGGGCTCAGAAGCACGTTGGTCCAACGGCTTAAACCTTCATTCCGAAAGACAGTGTGCGACTAGCAACTTTCATTTCAACACTAAAGTATTAAAACACAGTAGAGCGCCAATGAAATTTCAAAATTTTAATGGTACTATTTGGCATCGGTACAAGTAATGTCTAGTGTGTTATCTCACCTACTAGGTCTAGCTATAGGTAAAGTTGATTGACTGTTTCATTTTGTCTTATTTTGTAATCTGTTGAAGAATAGACGCTAAGTTTCTATATCTAACAAAATTTCCTCTCACTATTCGTTGTCGACATTATCATCGTCGTCGTCTTCTTCATCGCCAAGTTTATCGTTAGGCTTATTCGTTTAAATAGAAGACTGATCCCATTTTCTACATTATATCAATTATTTTAAAGTTAAACATTAATCGCTTTTCCTAATATCATTCTTGCCGAATTGCCTATTGAACTTTGGTGCGCGGAGAACTGGTGAGTGGCACGATGCAATTAGATGGAGTCATAGATTGAGCGCCTCTTCCTTGGTTTCCTTGTATCTTTAAAATATCTATATTAAAAAAAATGAATCACTATTTAGTGTGAAGCCTTGAACTCTCCGAATTATAAATAAATCTTAGTTTCGTGTCGGTACAAATGTGCACTTGAGTCGAAGGAAAACAGAAACATCTAGGCTAAAAAAATTTATTTTTATTTATAAGAAATTACGCGGTGGCCTCTATATAATATATGGTACAAGATACTTCTTAGGGCACAGGAACCATCGAAAATTTCATGTATGACACAATATTATATTCTGGTGATAAAAATTGCAATAAAAATATAGAAATAAATGTCTACGCTACTGGCATTGTATTGTTTACTAGGATTTAATGACGTCGTTTCTGTATCAGTCCTCAAGACCGAGTTTTGTTCTGTGATGAGTGAATGGACCTTTCCGCTAAGCCCCGCCCCTTGGATATTGTTGCTAAGGTCCCACAAGACGACAATGTTATTAAACATACGCGAACACGTGCGTTTGTGGGACAACACGTGTGTTTGTAAGACGCGCGCGTATTCCTAGCGCTGTTCTGATTAGTCAGTTGATAAGTTTGATTGACACTCCGGAAAGGTCTATTATGTAAAATACCAAATGAAAATAAATCAATCGAAACTGAATTCAATGGTATGACTCACGCCCTCTTAATTTAGCTGCGATCACTTTTAGAAAACCTAGAGAAATATCGGACGGTGTATTCGCGATTATACTAATTAAATAAGTATGTCTATATCCTCGAAGCTCTATTACCTTGTAGACTTTTCATCTAGCTGATAAATATTTTTTTGTGGTAGTAGTATACGTCCTAGCTCTCACAGTTGGCACCGCGACTTTGTGAATGAGGTTCAACAAAATTAGACAAATCATAAAAATTTATTCCTTGAAGTCTCAAAGCGTTTCCTATTACCCGAGTCGTGAAAATCACTTCATGCTTCACCTTCGAATCCAAACAAACAAGTTTGTATTATTATAAATTGGCAGATGCGTCATTAGTAATGCCTTCAGCATTCTAATTATCTGCTATTTACCCCAAAAGCTACAGAAAATCATCATCGCCACATTACTATTTTTGTTAATAATTAACCTCACTTTGCAAAAACACACAAATATATCCCTGTTTGGACTCACTGCAGATATTATTCTCCTGATGACGATTGAAGCAACTCAATCGAAACTCGAGACATTCTCAACAAAACAACAGTTCTTTTCAGAGCTATCTACGTGGTGTACCGCAAGCATTTAATCTATTTTTATTTTTGCTATCATTTTTATTATTATTATTATTTATTATTATTATTATTATTATTATTATTATTATTATTATTATTAAAATAATAATATTAATAATAATAATAATAATAATAATAATAATAATAATAATAATAATAATATATGTTTGTGATAATAAGCATTCTTATTATCAGCTATTTACCCCAAAAGCTAAAGAAAAAAACATTATCGCCATATTATTATTATTATTAATATTTTTATTATTGCTTTTATTTTTATTATTATAGCTATTATTATTAATATTATTATTATTATTTTTATAATTATTATTAATTTTATTTAGTTTTAATTTAACAACAACAACAATAGCAACAATAATAATAATAATATATGTTTGTGATAACGAGACAGTTATTGTATGTTCAATAAATAAATAAATCAGTCAATATATCGATAAATCAATACATCAATTTAGCAATATTATCATTACAGACTGAAATTTACTGTAGAGGCATACATTTATTGTGCCAGAAGCTTTAATATACATTAGAAAGATAGAAATCGGTTTTGAATTTGAAAAGTGATTTATTTTCATTTCCTGTTGCCAAATAAAGTGTTGTATTACTGTGTTTGTTGATTTGAAATTAATTGTTTGTTTCAATTATTTCTTTGGTCCAATATTGACTGATATCAGATTTTTCCCGGGACAATGAATTGCTCGGCTTCAATTGTATTTTATAGCTTGACATTGTAAAGATAAAATATTTGTAAAGCCCATTATTTTCGCGGGCCTTTATTTTCGCAATTTACAATTTTAAATATTTCGCGTCCTTTTATTTTCGCGATTTTACAATTTCCAGTTGTATAGGCTATTAGCTAGAGCTTCGCTTTTGAAGACAGAACCATTACATTGACAAAACTATCATTCAGATTTTCTCGATTTACGGGCGCCCTTAATTTCGCGAACGTAGTTTTATCGGTATGTATTTCCATTTGATTTCGTATTTACACACCTGATAATAGCTAAACCTGTTCTTGAATGATGGTACAAGTGTTTAGCCAATATGACTTCGTTATCTAAGCAAACTTTAAAGTAGGGCATTGACGTCAACAATGAGCTAATTATAGCTGATGTGCTCTCATCAAAGAACAAAGCGGAGAACAACAATTCACTCGAATTACGTTGGTATGGATTAAAGCACGGTGGTAGATTCAACAAATATTAAGATAAAATAATATCTTATATACCTTATCATTTAATTGAATCATGAGACGAGCTATAAGTGTTACTAGCAGATTCTTCTTCACGTACTTATATTGTGCTAATTTTATTTTAGGCTGGTTTACTATCATCAAGAATATTTTCATAATCTTCACCATTGTTTTAGTTTACTTTTTGTTATGAACCCAATGGATAAAAGTTTTACTTTCGTCTAAAACTTTATTTGGTTATCCAAGCATCCATAATATAACCAATAGGCGCCCTGTTATCTAAATGTCACGTTAGCTATATTATAACACATAGCATTACACTGTGGTATTAACTACTCTATATAATTATTATTTAAAATGGTATTTCCTATTGCTTCTATTAGACCTGGTAAATAAATACATTTGTTGTCTTTATTTTAGATAGAGCA